CCATGGCTTTGAGGCCAGCCACACATGCTAGGTGTAAAGGCAGCTCAGATAGAGAAGGGAGCACCAAATAAAGGGTGTTGGGAAATCCGTCCAGGATAGGAGATGCATGCTGAAAATAGACTATAGACTGAACATGATTGCCACTCACTTCCTCTTTTGCAAATCAAGCATCCAAAGGTACAGAGAGGAAAAAAAGGGAATGCCCTGCCACAGAGGCGGGGGGGGGGGGAATGGGGGATGGGAGGTTGAGAGGGATACTGGGATTAGTGGTGTTCTAGAATGGGCACTGGTGGAGGGATGAGTACTCGATCCTTGTATAACTGAAACCCAAGCACAAAAATTTGTAAATCTACAACTGTACCTCATGGTGTTTCACTAATCACGATCACGACCATCCTGTTATTCGTCGATTGCCTCGAGCAGACCTCAGTAACGTCTCCTTCATCCTTGCCCTGAGAATTTTTTAAAAAGTGCCATATTCAAGGCTCTTTCAGAGTTAAGAGAATGAGACCCATCATTGTTACTGGTATTTGGCATATCTGGTACGCCATGGGGAGTTTGCCAGACTCTGCCATGTGGGCAGGTTACATTCGGTAGCCTGCCAGTTTCTCCAAAGTAGGAATGAGATAATAAGATGTCCGGGAGCTGGGTTTTATAGTCTCTGAGTCTTGGCCATTGATGGGATTACACGGCACCAGGGGGCCAGTTGGTGGGTGTGACCCCCGCCTACTAGAATTTGGAGGATCTGGGTGGATGATGCTCAGCCCCGATTTGAGTAGGCTTGGAGATCTCAGCCCTGGGACCTGCATGCCTTTGTTCCTCTGCTGGTACCTTCATGTGTGCAGAGAGTGGTCTCAGCATGGTGGTGGCTGGTTCTGGAGGTCTTTGGCTGCCGGAGCCCTGGTCGGGGCGGGGAGCGAAACTCAACCCGCTCCCCTCCAAGGGGCCCCGGCGAGGACACCCAGGCGCAGGGGCAGGAGACTCTCACTAATAAAAATTTTAAAAAAGTTCAAGAAAATTACAAATGGCTGAATGCATTATCACTTATATAACATTTAATAAAATAATTTAAAAAATATTATATAATGACAGGGCTGGGACAATAGCACAGCAGTAGGGCATTTGCCTTATCTGCAGACAACCCCAGCTGAGCCGGATTTGATTCCTCCGCCCCTCTCGGAGAGCCTGGCAAGCTACCGAGAGTATCTTGCCCGCACCGCAAAGCCTGGCAAGCTACCTGTGATGTATTGGATATGCCAAACACAGTAACAATAAATCTCAAAATGGAGACATTACTGGGCCCGCTCAAGCAAATCTATGAATAACGGGAGGACAGTGACAGTGTTTTTATATAATGACGAATATCTTAATATAATTTATTTATTGAATCACTCTTAGAACAGTAGCAAAACTTTTTTTTTAAGTCTTGGTCATACAATGATCAAACAGCCATCTCTTCACCACTGCATATTTTCCACCACCAAGAACTCGAATATTCCTTGCAGAATACTTTATTTTATTTTCTCTAACAGAGAAATTCAGGTTTTAGTAGGTCAGCTAGTTACTAGTATATGTGCAAAAATATATTTGTTTGCCTGAAAATGATTTAATATTGGAGGTATTTTTAGGTTGTAAGACTTGAACAAAATATTGGACATAGCAAAAGTGAATGTTATAAAGAAAGTGCTCAGAAACAGCAAGTTAGAAGATGCTTGACAAGTGTCTGTTTACTTTCCATCTCTATTTCTTCTTGAATTCTGCATATCTAAATTCTATGGATAATCTAAGAAACAACTTTACTTATTTTAACCTTTTACATACCAATATATATATTTGACATCCAATTTTATATTAGTTTCAGGCACATAACATTGGTCACTGTGCAATAAGTCTAGTTAACAATCATCACACTTCAAAATCACTATTTACTATTATGTAAAAACAAAGACTTTTTTCTTTCTTTTTATATGAATGACGTTTTATTGTTTTGTGCATTCTAGATTTTTGTATATATCATATTTATATATATATATATATTTTAGTGAGACACCATGAAGTACAGTTGTACTCTTACAAACTTCCATGTTTGGGTTTCAGTTATACAATGATCATGTAGCCATCCCTTCACCAGTGCCCATTCTCCACTACCAATGAACCCAGTTGTCCACCCCCCATACCCCCCCTGCCAAACCTCTATGTCAAGGCATTAACTTATGCTCTCTCTTTCCTTTATGGTGTTGTGGCTTGCAATAGAGGTATTGAGTGGTCATCGTGTTCGGTTTATAGTCAGCACACATCTCGCATCCCGATCGAGTCCTCCAAACATTCTTTACTTGGTGTTCCCTTCTCTATCTGAGCTGCCTTTTCCCCCAGCATATGCTGCCGGCTTCCAATGCGTGGAGCAGACCTCCTGGTACTTATCTCAACTATCCTCGGGTGTTCATCTCCCATTCTGTTACTTTATATTCCCCAAATGATTGCAGTTTTTCTATGCCTGCCCCTCTCTTTCTGACTCATTTCACTTATCATGATATTTTCCATATAGTACCACTTGCTTGCAAGTTTTATGACTTCATCCTTTCTAACTGTTGCATGGTATTCCATTGTGTCAATGTACAAAAGTTTCTTTAACCAGTCATCTGTTCTTGGGCACTCGGGTTTTTTCAAAATTTTGGCTATTGTGAATAGTGCAGCAATGAATATAGAAGTGCAGATGTCACTCTCTGGGATATATTCCCAGGAGTGGTGTTGCTGCATCAATGAGAGCTCAATTTCTAATTTTTTGAGAATCGTCCATACTGTTTTCCAAAAGGTTTGAACTAGTCTGCATTCCCACCAGCAGTGTTAGAGGGTCCCTTTCTCGCCACATCTCCCCCAACACTGGTTTCTTTTGTTATTTTGGATGTGGGTCAGTCTCTGTGGTGTGAGATGATATCGCATTGTTGTTTTGATCTGCATTTCCCTGATGATTATTGTTATGGAGCATTTTCTCATGTGCCTTTTAGACATTTGGATTTCTTCTTTGGGAAAATTTCTGTTAATTTCATCACTCCATTTTTGATGGGGTTGGATGTTTTCTTCTTGTGGAGTTCAATCAGAACTTTGTATATCCTTGATATCAACCCTTTATCAGATGGGTATTGTGTGAATATCCTTTCCCATTCTGTATATTGTCTTTGTATTTTGGTCACTGTATCTTATGAGGTGCAGAAGCTTCTTAGTTTGAGATAGTCCCATTTGTTGATCTCTGTTTCCACTCGGTTGGTCAGTGGCATGTCATCTTTGAAGATATCATTATAAAAGAGGACATGAGCAAATGGAAACATATCCCCTGCTAATGGATAGGAAGAATTAACATTGTCAAAATGGCAATACTACCCAAGGCACTTACAGATACACTGCGATCCCTATAAGGATACCCATAAAATTATTCAAAGAAATGGATCATGCACTCATAAAATTCATCTTGAACAACACACTCACGAATAGCTAAGGCAATTCTTGGGAAAAAACGATGAGAGGTATCACTCTCCCCAGTCTCAAACTCTACTACAAAACGGTAACAATTAAATCAGCATGGTATTGGAACAAAGGCAGAGCCACAGACCAATGGAACAGGGTGGAATATCCGTATACAACCCCAAATGTATCAACATCTAATCTTTAATAAGGGAACAAGAAATGTGAAGTGGAACAACTAAAGCCCCTTCAGCAAATGCTGCTGGCATAACTGGACAACCACATGCAAAAAATAGGCTTAGACCTCGACTTAACACCATGCACAAAAGTCAGATCAAAATGGATTAAATACCTCCACATCAGACCAGAATCCATAAGGTACATTGCAGACAAGGTCAGCAAAACCCTCCACAATATTGAGGCTAATGACAAATATTTTGTAGCCAGAAGAAACATATATTCAGAAGTGAATGCTTTCCATTTCACCACTTTAAAGTAACACTTCTTCATAGTACAGATTACATTTTTATATATCAGGCATCAGAATGAGTTTCTGTTAAGATTTAAATACCAAATATTTTTTTATTTTATGGGCCAGAACATAAAATTCCTTAGAGACAATTTATGAGAAAATATTCATGAATTCATTTTTAATTTTCATTTTCATTTCATCATGGTGAGATGCAGTTTCAAAGCTTTCATGATCGGGTTTCAGTCATACAATGTTCCAATACCCATCATTCCACCAGTGTACATTTCCCACCACCAATATCCAGGTATCCCTCCTGTCACCCCCAAGAACTTTTCTCATCTCTCTCTCTCTCTCTTTGTGTGTATATGTTTGTGTCTCTTTCCTTTGCGCCACTACAGTTTGCAATACAGATACTGAGAGGCCATCATATTTGGTCCTCTACTCATTTTCAGCACACATCTCCCATCCAGAGAGATCCCTTCCAAAAATCATTGTCATAATTGTCCCTTTTCTATCACAACTGCCCACTCCTTCAGTACTTGAGGCAGACTTCCAACCAAAGACCATTTACCCTGACCCTTGCTTCTACTCTCCTTGATTGTTAGTCTCATATTATGTTTTTTTTATATCCCACAAATAAGTGCAGCAATTCTATGTCTTTCCTTCTCCTTCTGGCTACTTCACTCAGCATGATACTCTCCATGTCCATCCACTGATAAGTGAATTTCAGTACTTTATTTTTAAAAGCTGTTTTGTATTTCATTGTGTAGATATATCATAGTTTCTTTAACCATAGTTTCTTTTCTGCTCTATTCTTGGGAATTCTGGTTTCCAGATTCTGACTATTGTGAACAGTTCTGCAATGAACATATGAGTACAGATGTCATTTCTGCTGTGTATTTTTGCACCCTGGGGTGCAAAATACCATTCCCAGAAATGGTATTGCTAGGTCATATGTAAGCTCAATTTCTAATTTTTTCAAGAATGCCCATATTGCTTCCCAAAAAGGCTGAACCAGTCGGCTTTGCCACAAACAATGAATGAAAGTCCCTTTCTCCCTGCATCGGTGAAAAGTATGGAATGTTTCACGAATTTGCATCTCCTCCTTGTGTAAGGACCATGTTAATATTCTCTGTAATCAATTTTATTATATGTGCTAACAAAATGAGTACTCAAGAATTCATTTTCATAAAATGATTTTTACTAAACAACTGTTGTGTATAAGTTTGACCCATACGGCATCTTTTGATGACTCTTCCAGGACAAATTTATTATATATTTATATCATATATAACTATATTTGGAATTTAAATTCAGAACTCATATTGTTAGACTATATTATATAAGTAATATTTTATATATATCTTACATATTGATATTTTTACATATGTGGTGCATGTAATGCATAATGCTCTGCAATTTGCATTTTTATAAGTGTTACTAGATTTTTGGATACCATGTCTATATACCAGACTCTCAATATACATCCACAACTGCCCATGGAATCCTTTCTTGTACGTCCACCTATCAAGTCCCTTAGTCCTATATACCTTTTTTTGAGCATTTCTGATTTCCTGGGTAAGATTGGATTGCTATGTAATTTCCTCTTTGCACATATGTCCATGAATTTAATATCTTGTCTTGCATCTCCTTAGAGATTTATTACATGAATCTGAAGAGCATATGCAGCGAATTTGGGCCTAGACCATCATTTCTTTCCTTCCTTTAGTGAACACAGAATCTGTTTTAAAACATACTTACACATACATCTAAATTTTACTTCTGTGCTCACAATTTTATATCTTTGGACTTAAAGTCTGCTTTATTTTCAGTACCACATTTATTATTATTTTAATTTTATAATAGTTTATAGTGATTAACTCTAATGACTTCATGCTTTTCTCATTATTGGTTTGGCTATCTCAAGAACTTTATGATACTATACAAATAGTAGTATTAGTTCTATGGTTTTGAAGACTCTTAACAGAATTTTGATAGGTATTTCATTGAATCTAGATTTTTGAATAGTATAGTAATTTTAACAATGCGAATTCTTCTGATTCAATAACATACAGTATTTTCTAACATTTATTGTGTCCTTTAAAATTTATTTTAATAGTGACATGATTTTTGATGTTTAATCTTTCACTTCCTTTAGTAAGTTGATTACTAAAATCTTGAATTTTTTGGACACAAGGCTGTATATGGTTGTAGTTTATTTTTCTCCTAATTTATTGTTTGCATAGAGAAATGCACATATTCTTGTTGTTGCTTTTCTAACCTGCTACTTTAGTACATTAGCTTATTTTTTCTAAAAGTTATTTAGAAATTAGTTATTTAATGGTTAAGAAAATCAGGCACTTATATTTACTGGGATGACCCAGTTTTGAATATGGTCTTCTAAGCAAAGTCAGGAATGATCCCTGAATACAGAGTAGGTCTAATCTCTGAGCATCACTGAGTATGGCAAATAAAAGAAAACAACAAATTAAAAAGATTTTTTTCAGTAGTCTTTGGAGGTTATTTATGAATATTGCCATGTCATCTGCAAATAATGATAGTTTACTTCTTTTCCAATATTATTGTCTTTGATTTCTTTTTCTTGCCTAAATGTGACCAGTTATTGCAATATTAACTTGAATGCTTATAAAGTGAACACATTTGCCTAATTCTTGATCTTAGAGAGAAGGCTGATTCATATATTTTTAATTACAAAATTTGTTATGGGACATCCCAAGGAGGACTCGTAGACTTGGTCTCTCCTTCAAGCAATTTTTTGTCAATGGCCTGTGGAAAGATTTCTGCTAGAAACATGTAGTGGTGCTCAGAAGGCCACACCCAGAGGTATTGTATAGAACATGTGCTATGATTGAAAACCAGGGTCAACTGAATATAAGGCATGTGCCTTTGTCTTATCTCTCAAACCCATAGATTATAAAATATTTCAATATAAATGTTATGACTTTTTGAATATTAATTATATTTTTGTTTATTCGCTCAATTTTCAGACTGACTCAATTAAATGTCTACATTATTCTGTTCTACATGACTTTTAGTTTTCAAATTATTTACTATAATAGATATCACTGTATTTATTTATATTTTTATTGAATCACCATGAGATAAAGTTGCAAAGTTGTTCATGGTTGGGTTTTAGTCATACCATGTTCCATCACCTGTCCCTTGACCAGTGTACACTTTTCACCAACAATGTAATCAGTTTCCCTCTCATAACGCCCCCATCCCAGCCTGCCTTCGTGGCAGACACTTTTCTTCTTTCTTACTCAATGTCTTTCTAGCTCTTTCCCTTTAGACATTATGATTTGCAATACAGGTAGTGAAAGGTTGTCATATTTATTCCTTTACCTACTGTCAGAACTCAGTTTCTGTCCAGGTTGATCATTTCCAGCTATCACGGTCAAAGTGGATTTTTCTAACTTAACCACCCTACTTGTCCACCACTTCCAACCGTGAGGCATCATCCTGGCCCTTGTTTTATACTGTGCTCCAGTATTAGTCTCATACCTTGTTTTATTTTGATATCCCACATATGAGTGGAGTAATTTTACCTCTGTCCCTCTCCCTCTAACTCATTTCATTCAGCATGATACTCTACATATCCATCCATTTATAAGCAAAATGCATAATTTCATTTTTCCTGGTGGATGTGTAGCTGTTATTCAGCAACAAAAAATTATGACCCCATTTTTCTTGAGGAAAATGAGGCACATTGATGTTAACTGAGCTTTCCAAAGAAGTGCAGCAAATTAACCTGTAAATAGGGTTTAAAATCAAACCTCTTGATGATCTTATTTTTTCACATAGATATTCTCCTATACATATGCTTAACATTTTAATTTATTTTGTTTTTGTTTTGGGGCCACAACTAGTGATAGTAGTAGTTTTATATAGTAATATGGTACTTGGTATATCATATGATCACTTGACATCCCATTACTTATTGATTTGCTCTAGCGGGTGCCAGTAATTTCTCCATTCATCCCTATCACATGATAGTGTAGCCCAATGGCATCTGCTCGTTATAGGAACATGAAGAGCCTCAAACCGATCATTCAGTGTCTTGATGAAGAAGTCTGACCATCTCGTAGGTGGGCAGCCATGCTGTCTTTTGACGTCCCATGGAATCCAGTCGAAAACAGCTCTAGTCCAGCGGTTGTCTCCAAATCTCATTACGTGTCCAGCCCATCTGATTTTCGACACCTTGGCAAATGAGACTGCGTCCCTGATTCTTGACCGTCAATGGAGGTTGGAACTCCGGATTCTTTCTCTCGTTTGAGTCAAGCGTGATATTCCAAGCATAGCTCTTTGGATACCTCTTTGGGAGACTCAAATAGCGTTTTTATCCTTTTTTCATAGGGCCCAGTCTCTGAGGTGTATGTTACTGCAGGAAAAACAGCGGAATCTAAGAGATGTGCCCAGAGCTGGAGGTTTATCATCCTCTTAGCTATTTCTTTGATGCTCTCAAAGGTGTTCCAAGCCGATCTTTTCCTCCTGCGCAACTCAGGTGCCAGGTCATTCGTCATGTTGACTTTTCAACCTAGGTATATATGTGTTGCATTCAGAGATGTTTATTCTGTTGAGAGTGAATGGAATGTCTGGAACGAGTCCCTTACTCATAAACATTGTCTTCATGTGATTCAGCTGTAGGCCAACCTTTCCACACTTATGGTCGAAGTCGGCCAGCATTTGTGCCACTTGTCTAATGTTTGGTGTTATTAGAACGATGTCATTAGTGAAGCGGAGGTGGTGTAGTTGCCGACCGTCTATCTTCACTCCCATTCCTTCCCATTCCAGTTATTGCATGACGTTCTTGAGGGTGGTACTGAAGAGTTTTGGTGAAATGGTATCACCCTGCCTAACCCCTCTTTTGACATGGATGATCACTTCTTTGTAGAATGGTGAGATCCTGGTAGTGAATCCGTAATACAGCTCACGGAGGATCCTGATGTATTGAGTTTGAATGCCCTGATTTACTAGGACTTCAATGACTGCTTCCGTCTCAACAGAATCATTCTGTTTTGATAGAGATTTCACCAGAAGACAAAATTACAAACAGTCAAGTCAGGTTAATTTTTCACCACACCCATGCCAAAAAAGGGTCATTTCCAGGCTTTATAGTATATGACTTTCTCACTGTTGCAGGTAATATTATATTTTTGCCATTGCATTCCCCTGATAATAATGACAATGGACACACATGACTAATGATCATCTATACATCCTCTTCTAAAAGTATTCATTTATTTTTATTGAATGATGGGGTTTAGAGGCAGTTTTATATTGAGCATTGTATGTGCATTATATAATGTTAGTATTAAACCTTCTGATATACCGTGTGAAAATATTTTTTCATGTTGTCTTTTAATTTTATTCTGCACTTCTTTTGTTATATGCAATCTTTTAGTTTGTTATGCTGCATTATTTTTATTTTATTTGCTTTTTCAGTGGAGTTAAATCATTTACCATACTTCTGAGGTCTGGAGTACTTTACCTAAATTTATCTCAATTTATTTCATGGATTCTTATATAGTCTCAAGGTATTTTATCATATTAAATCAACTTTTTGTGGTGTAAAATGTGGATACAGTTTTATTACTTTGCATGCTAGTCCCTTGAAATAAATTGAATGATGATTTTAATTTTCTGTAAACAAATTAACAAGACTATAAATCTCTGGCCTGTGTGAATTATTATTCCATCTCCAGAAAAGAATGTTGGAAGAATCTTGGTTAGAATCTATAAATAATTACTCGGTCTGACAATATTTACTGGATGAAAATTTAGTAAATAGATACTGATATCACTTTCAAATATTTCCTTAAGTCTCATCTGCTTTGTCAAATTTTTTTCTTACTTTACAACCAATACTGGACAAAAAGGCCCCACTTTTGTGCTTTAAAATTTATTATATATAAAAGAATTCTATCCATCCCCTAGTCCCGCTGACCCAGTGCGTCACGTTTTCCTGCAGGTGGGTTGGAGGAACAGTCCCCGGACGACACGGACACTTGCGCCCTGTACCCCCACCGGTCCTCAGCACCTTCCAGCCCCCTTGACCGCATCCTTCTCCCCTATTCCCGCCAAAGCGCCTCCTAGTCCTGCAGCTGTGGCCACTAAGCCAGGAAGTGTGGCCTCTGAGCTAGGAGACATG